AAAATTATAGGCGGCATATAAGCAGCTCTACAAATGCTACCCCTAGGAATTAACCTTTGATTGTATGTGACAGTTCAGTGAGTCTGTTTGTTCCCTCATGACAGTTAACCCACCCTCCTATACCCTGTCTGCATTGTGATTTCTTAAATCATCAGTTCCAAGCTTCACTAGTGCTTGTTATGCCAACATAGCACATTTGTGTTCAAATGACACTTTGCTGGCCCTTCATTTGCTAGAATGTACAACGTGGTTATACATTTGAAGGGCTGTGGAGAAAGGCTAGTTCTGGTTTGTAAGTTTGAAAAACTCCCAAATTTATTTATTTAATTTATATCCTGTTTTCCCCTATCATGAAATGGAAAGTTGGGGGTTTTTTTGGTAAATGATCCCAAATTACTTCCTTGTTCTTGCTAGCTCATTCCTTCATATGCTCTTATACTGCACATTATAAATCCACACCATTCTCGAAGCAACTTGGAGAGACACAGAGTTAGATATTCAATCGTTCAGTTAGCGGCCCCTTGTCTATGAGGATGAATTCTGTCCAGGAATATTAACTTTTTTTGGAGGAGAGAAAAGGTAGGATCTAAGTCACTAAGATTTAACACACACACATAAATCACAGTAACAGACACACCCCTATATGGCACCATCAATCTTTATGATATGCAGCACCCATTTTTCTTACTTTGGATTCTTTAACCATTTTTGAAGCATGAAAGTGTTCCCATCCTTAATCCTCCCAAAAGAAGGGAGGGAGGGAGGAAGCGAAGGAGGGATGAAAGGATCACTGTGAATTTACTATGAATCCCCCTTCATGAAACTTCATCCTAAGCACAAAAAAAAAAATGTATTCACTCATCAGAATCTCTATGTCAAAAGTGTTTTTAAAATTAAAAAAATGATTTTATACATTCAGAATCTAAAGATTTAGAATGAAGGAACAAAACCCCAAACCTCTGAGAATTGAAGTATTTGGCACCAACAATACTTTGAAGATTAAAATGTAATGAAGTGTGTTCTGACCTGGTGCCTTCCAGATATGGCAGACCATAAATTCCATCATTCCCAACCAATATGAATGATAGGCACTGTAGTTCAAAACATTAGGAGCACACCTGGCTGGAGAAAGCTACACAACATGGATAACCAACTGAGGCCCCTTCCACACAGCTGAATAAAACCCTATATTATCTGCTTTGAACTGGAATATATGGCAATGTGGACTCAGATGACAAAGGGTGCATCCAGACAGCCCCTTTATTGTGGTAACTCCCACAATAAAGAAGGGGCTATCCAGATAACATCCTGGGCATTCCCGAATTAATTCGCCACAAACCCTGGTTTGTAGCAAATTAATTAGATAGTGGGTTTATTCCATGCCTTCTTGAAATACTGCAGTCCAGACACCATTCCCACAGTTTTCCGCCCCCCCCCCCCCCCCCCCCCCCCCCCCCCCCGCTCTCCTGGCGTGTCATTTCTATGCTCTGGGAGAGCTCCAGCTATGGTCTACTGGAGGCCAGGTAACTTTTCCTTACTTTTCAAAGGAGTTTGAGGGCTATGGGGGAGGGGTAGGGCCTCCAAATGTTCTCGTGGGCCAGTCCCGCGAGAGCATCTGGACACCCTCCTCAGAAAGTGCACACTTTACAGGAATGTAGTTAAGGGAGTGGATGGGGCAAAATGAAAACGTGGCCACGTTGAATATGAATTCTGCCCCTTCCCATGAATGTTTTCTTCTGTCATTAAATTTCCAGCACAGCGGAGAGTGAGATATTCGAAATAATTAACACCTACAACTCTTCCATTAGTTATGTTTGCATTCCCATGGTAACTTTGCCTGCCCCTGTTCACTGGATGTCTAAACTCTATTTCTGGAGATTTAACTGGAGATGCTTTCTCTCTATCTTTCTCCCTACCCCCCTTTGCTGAAAATCTCTTAAGGGAGAAATGATGGAATCTCTTCACCTTCTAATTGCGGGAATGAGGAGCCTTTCATCCAGAAAGGTTCTGTGTTCCTTTGCAACTCTTGAGGGATCATAGAGCCCATTTACATAGTTCTTATGTTAGACTCCACATTGCAAGAGATATTACAGGCATAGCTGGCGTATTTAAGAGGAGCATTGGAGTCCAATGAGCCATGGAACCAGCTACACAAATCACATGAGGCAGGTTTTCCTGAAACAGCTCCTGCACCACTTAACAAGCCACTAAAGTAGGATTTTTTCTCCTTTCTTAAGCTAAATGTTGTTGTGTGTCTTCAAGTAATTTCTGACATATGGTGACCCCAAGGCTCTGTGTCCCTTTGCAACTCTTTTTTTTTAAATGATGAAATTTGTTCAGAGGAGGGATAATCTTTTCATCCCGAGAGAGCATGACTTGACCAAGGCCATGCAGTGAGTTTCTGGCTGAACAGGGATTTGAACTCTAGTCTCCAGTGACATACTCTAACATTCAAACCACTGCTATATTGGATCTGTGGTTAAATGTCACAAGCCTTAATGTATTGGAGCTAAACATGTTAAGCCATTCCAAAGAAGAACAAAACAATTTAGATGGATCAACCAATGAAGATTTGGGGAGGGGGGAATCAGTCCATTTGTCTACTATCTATTATATCATGTAGCTTTTATTTGGTGTTATAAGTGCAAAGGCAATGAAATTTACTCAGGATCAATCATGCTGGACGCAATACAAATAATAACAACATAAAAAACATTATGTGAGATATTTAAAAGGAAGGGGGGGGATCAACAGTTAATCAACAGATATAAAGGATTACAATTTGTGTGCAATTTATACAAAAATGGAGCAAAATAGACAGAGATTTAGAATCAAAGAATTATAAACTTGGAAGAGACCTTGTGGGCCATCCAGTCCTACCCCCTGCCAAGAAGCAGGAAAATCGCAGTCAAGGCACCTCTGACAGATGGCCATCCAGCCTCTGTTTAAAAGTCTCCAAAGAAGGAGCCTCCACCACTCTGGGGCAGAGAGTTCCACTGCTGAACACCTCTCACAGGAAGTTCTTCCTATTGTTTAGGTGGAATCTCCTTTCCTGTAGTTTGAAGCCATTATTTTGCCTCCTAGTCTCCAGGACAGCAGAAAACAAGCTTGCTCCTTCCTCCCTATGACTTCCCCTCACATATTTATATATGGCTATTATGTCTCCTCTCTGCCTTCTCTTCTGCAGGCTAAACATGCCCAGTTCTTTAAGCTGCTCCTCATAGGGCTTGTTCTTCAAATCCTTGATCATTTTAGTCACCCTCCTCTAGACACATTCCAGCTTGTCAACATCTTCCTTAAACTGTGGTCATCAGAACTGAACACAGTATTCCAAGTGTGGTCTGATCAAGGCAGAATAGACGGGTAGCATGACTTCCCTGGATCTAGACACTATATTCCTATTTATGCAGGCCAAAATCCCACTGGCTTTTTTTTTTTTTTTTTTGCTGCCACATGACATTGTCGGTTCTTGTTTAACTTGTTGTCCATGGGACTCCAGGATCTTTTTCATACATACTGCTGTCATGCTAGGAGTCCCCCATTCTGTATCTTTGCATTTCATTTTTTCTGCCTAAGTGAAGTATCTTGCATTTGTCCCTGTTGAGCTTCATTTTGTTAGTTTTGGCCCATCTCTCTAATCTGTTAAGATCATTTTGAATTCTGCTTCTGTCTTCTGGGGTATTGGCTATCCCTCCCAATTTGGTGTTGTGTGCAAACTTGATGATCATGCCTTCTAATCTTTCATCTAATAATAAGGATGTTGAACTGGACTGGGCCCAGGACGGAACCCTGCTTATGGCACTCCACTCGTCACTTCTTTCCAGGATGAAGAGGAAGCATTGGTGAGCACCATTTGGGTTTGTCCACTTAACCAAGGACAAATTCAAGGGGAATCTATAACACTTGGTTTACCTTTATATTATCTTTACATGTATCTAAACCTTTCTTTCTTCCAAAGCCAGGAATTAAAATGACATTACTGTTTAAGTGTTGCCCTCCCTATGGAATTTTTTTTCTTTTCTCCGGCCCACCATTATGATTATTTTTTTTGCTAAATAAGGACTTTCTAAAGCAGGGTGTATTACAGCACTGAGGACTGGTCTAAGATTGTGGTAGAAGTAGTAATATTATCTCACTGGGGATGCCCTGACTCTTTGGTGAACTACAGCATCCTTTGGAAGACTTAATTCTGGCAGTAAGAGAGACAAAACCTAGGTTTAGGAGCGTGCAGCATTGTGCAGGCAATATTTTCTATATTTAGTGATACATCTTGCCTGATTGCCACCACTATGATTTGGAGACTGACTGTATTTCCTGTTCTTTTTCTTCAAAAAAGAAAAAGAAAATAAAGATTGTATGTATTCTGAGTGTATAGCCTTCATACACAAGAGTATGGACATGCATTTGTGTTTGAGAAGGAAGCTCCCATATGCAGAGGTCAGGTGCAGAGCAAAAGCAAAGTCACAGGAATCATCTTGCTCCTCCTGCTCCATGCCAAAAATGTCCTTTACATCATGTCTGAAGATGCATGTCATTTGCTAGTGACAAACATCTTAAGACATTGGTCAGTAGACGTATCATCAGAAGCAGGCCTCAGGGAAAGGCACTGGGAGAGATACGGCTGAACCTAGCAAAGCTGTGCTCATTTGCTCTTTCGAATCTATCAACACAGAAACAAGTTATACAGGTTCTGCTTCTAGAGGGATTTGGCTTCATTATTAATGGTATTTCCAAACAAGGCTTTTATTACCATGCACTCGAAGTTTGCTGGGGTCCAGAAGACAATAACTTCAGATTTGTCTCTAATTTGTAGCCCTCTACTCTATAATCTATATTTTTTCTACATTTTTTTCTTTTGACAAAAATACCTGTTTAGGAGGGGAAAGTGGAATTGCTGCACAGGAACATTTGATTGATCGGGAAGCACCCTTGTTCTACCCTTCTTTCTAAAACACATACTTGTATATATAGGACTCAAATAAAGCTTCCTGTTAATGCCTTGTATCTGTCAGAAGAGGGAGCCAGGTCCACACTGAAATCTGTGTTGCTGGAAGTTATTGAGCACAATGAATGGCACGGAGAGAAAGTGGTTATGTGTGTAGTGGAAGGGGTGGGGGAGAGAGAGAGAGAGAGAGATAGGAACCAGAAATAAACCAGCCGCAAAAAGATGAGGTGAGTGTCGTTCTTTCAGCTGGAAGCCTGTAACATCAGCACCCTGCAAACAGCCGCACGGTGGGACGAATGACTTCTTTGTGTTGGTGAGTTTTTGCTTGAGGGCAAAGACTAATTTCATACCTTGGTGTCAGCTTGAATTATGTGCAGTTTGTTTGTGGGTGTTGGGGTTCATGGTTGGAGAAGGGAGTCCCTTTGAACAGATTGTGTGTTATTTCAATAGTCTCCCTTTCTTTTTCTTTTCTTTTTTACAAATGTGGAGCTAACAGAGTTGATGAGCCGATCTTTTGCTTCTACACGGATCTGTTCTAGATTGAATGTTTACATACATGTGTGGTTCTGCACATTTAAGCGTGGCTTGTATATATGCATGTTCAACCAGAGTGCAAATGGAATGCCTCCTAGGTCCCGTGGGGCTTGTCTGACAACTACTTTTAGAGACGATTCTAAAATAAATGATTTTATGACCACTTCCATTAATAATTGGGATAAATCAATACATTTCTACCATTTGTAAAGGTGGGGCTTTCCCATCAAGACCTCTATAGCCTTGGAGAGTGAAAATTAGAATGCCATGTTTAGAATCAGAACATTTGAGCAATTGATTTTACTCCTTTTGTTTATGTCCAAACAGGCTATGAAAAATAGTATTTGTTTATAGTTGTAGAGGAAAAAGGAACAAGGCTGTGTTCCCTACAGGGAAAGCTTTTTGATTTTAAAAACCAGGATATTTGAAGGGCTACTGCTCATTATTTTCACTCATGCCTGGATTTCACTCCTCTGTGATTTAGGAAAGAAAAATCACACAGAGAGACCTTTACTTGCAAGGTGATGTGGACACCTACTACTTCAGATGAGACGAAACCTGCGATGTCGGGGTCCTGGGCTTGGCAAAACAGAGAGAGATCACGTAGCATCATCCCAGACGTAAATCCAAGGTCAGATGCAGCAGGAAATCCTGAAGAAAATGCTGTACTACCTGGACACTTCTAAAGGAAAATAATATTATGATTGTGACCTAATCCTCAGGCTGCAGTAGTTATGAATTATAGCTGAAAGACTATAGAGAAATTGGAAAAGTTTCTCAATAGCTAGAGACTGAAGCTTACTTAGTGGAGTTATATTTTATACACTGACCAGTAGATTGGAAGCTTACATCAAAGGCCAAAAGGATCTGCTCTTAGGACTTTCCCTTATTTTCCTCTGCCAAGGAAGACTTAAGCATCTCACAGCTATTTGCCAGATAATTGGAAAGCTCATGCCTTAGCCTGGGATGATTTCATCCTGATGGCCCACTTCAACAGGATATACAAAGTGTGACTTGGGTGATGACAACCCAGAAAGGACTGCCTTGATACATCAAGTTAGCATGTGAATTGAAAGAGATGGCTGGAATTGAAGGAACCACACAATCCCATCAGAAGAGTAATTAAAAAGAGATCTTGAAAGTTGTGCCTGGTGGGTGCTGCTGATGAAAAAATAGGTCTGGCTGGTTTATTTGTCTACCCCTTGTCCCTTCATTCATTCAGAAGATTATACCTTATGCAGTGCAACTTGCCTGCTTTGATTGTGCCCCTTATTTTGTTTTTTTTTGTTTTTTCTGTGTTCTGCTATGCAATTCAAATTCTAAATAATGTAGAAAGAAAAATGTTCTTCCCTGGATTAGACTAAAGCAACAAAAGTCAAACAGGTAGGAGATTTCTTCATATGAAAAGCTGCAGTGCTATAACTAGATCTATATATCAATCTACAAGCTATTTACTGTCTTAAAATGTTAATGTATTTTCTTTGCCTCTAGGACTTTGAATCTTTAACAATGTGGAACATTATGAGGAGTTGCTTCCTGAGGCTACCTATAAAGAGAGAACCGGTGCTTTAATTTCAAAGCTTAAAATGTACAGAGGCTGAAAGGGTATTAAAATGTTCCACCAATTAGAGGGATGGAAAATAAAATCAGAAACAAAAGCACCTAATGTGTTATGCTTCAGTAGTGCTGAAGGGCTAGTTAAATGGACACTGGATAAACTGAATCAATAATCTATTTAAGTGAGAATATATCTAAGTTGGAATGTGATTGCGACCCTGATCTATTGAGTTTATATCTATGGGACTCTCGGAGGATTCTTCTGCTGGCATGTTCTTGCTTCAGTAATCTCTTTTAGACTAAAATTCAGAAAGGATTGCCAAGAAATAGCACTAGTGGCTGTCAGGATCATCAGCATCATCTACAACAAAATGACTGTGATGGTCAGTTTCAGATGCTTGCCTGGTGTTCTTAATGAAATTCCTAAGGATGATGGGATCCCTCCCAAGGGTTAAGAGACTTTAGCATCAGCTTTAGGGGAGATCTGTTTGGCCACTGATGGTGAGCAATTAATGGACACCTGATGTCTCTTTTGTACGGATGCAAGCTGATGTCATCATCACAAGCCCCATGATATGAGATTGCCTCTGGAGAAACAATGATTTGGAACAACACCACTATGGACGGGAAAGATTTGCTTGTGAAAAAGGATTCTTGTGTCCGAATACTCACCGGCTGCTTCCTCTCCTTGCTGATTCTCTCTACCCTCCTAGGCAACACACTTGTCTGTGCCGCTGTCATCAGATTTCGCCACCTGAGGTCCAAAGTGACCAACTTCTTTGTGATCTCATTGGCAGTCTCAGACCTTTTAGTAGCTGTTTTGGTCATGCCCTGGAAAGCCGTTGCTGAGATAGCTGGATTCTGGCCTTTTGGGTCATTCTGTAACATCTGGGTAGCCTTTGACATCATGTGCTCCACTGCCTCCATCTTGAATCTGTGTGTCATTAGTGTGGACAGGTATTGGGCCATCTCTAGCCCTTTTAGGTACGAGAGGAAAATGACTCCCAGAGCAGCCTTCATCATGATCAGTGTGGCATGGACTTTGTCTGTGTTGATTTCTTTCATTCCAGTGCAACTGAACTGGCACAAGGCTAAAACCACAAGCTTTCTAGACCTCAATGCCACTTTTCAAGGTGTAGCCATGGACAACTGCGATTCCAGCTTAAACAGGATGTACGCCATCTCTTCCTCTCTCATTAGCTTTTATATCCCAGTGGCCATCATGATAGTCACCTACACAAGGATATACCGAATTGCTCAAAAACAGATAAGACGCATTTCAGCCTTGGAACGGGCAGCTGTGCATGCCAAGAACTGCCAAACCCCTGCTGGCAATGGAAACATTCTGGATTGCCAGCAGCCAGAGAGTTCTTTCAAGATGTCCTTCAAGAGAGAAACAAAAGTCCTAAAGACTTTGTCAGTGATTATGGGGGTGTTTGTGTGCTGCTGGTTACCCTTTTTCATACTGAACTGCATGGTGCCCTTTTGTGAGCCCACTGTACCATCCAGGGGAACAGAACCATTTTGTATCAGTTCTGCCACTTTTGATGTTTTTGTTTGGTTTGGATGGGCTAATTCTTCACTCAATCCCATCATCTATGCCTTCAATGCTGATTTCCGCAAGGCATTCTCCACCCTCTTGGGATGCTACAAACTCTGCCCTGCTTCCATTAATGCTATAGAGACCGTTAGTATAAACAACAATGGGGGCATAGCCTTTTCCAGTCAGCTTGAGCCCAGAGGGTCCAGCCCCAAAGACTGCAATATGGTTTATCTTATTCCTCATTCTGTTATATGCCCTGAAGAAGATGCCCTCGTGAATAAAGAAGCAGAAGTGGGGTTGCCTAAAACAATGGAGAAAATATCTCCAGCCCTATCAGGGATTTTGGATTTTGAGGCTGACCTGTCTTTGGAAAAGATCAACCCCATCACGCAAAATGGCCAACATAAAACCTGAGGGGTACAGTTAACCCTTCAAAATGTAATACTACAAGAAAGATTTTCAAGCTGTTTTTGTTTTGTGGGATGGGGTGTTGGGAGGGAGGGGTGAGGAAAGTACGCTATTGTGAGAGTCAAAGCCATCACTCAAAAACCCAGGGCTCCACTGAGCTGATGTTTGTCAGAACCATACAATTCAAGCAAACAATTCCAACTTAATATACACTGTATTTAGAGGTTGTTCTATGTTGTTCATTCTGAGTGGAAATGAAATAGAAGATGTTGATACAGTGTGGCTTCAAGGAAAATGAAAATAAGCTTGACCAATGTTTGCAGAAGTGGAACTGGGGTGGGGAAAGTAAATAAACTTCACTATAGGAATACAATGTATTAAATTAAATATGAAGTTCCTGTTTGACTTGCATAGGTGTTCATGGTTGTTTATAGGTTGCAAGTAAAGTTTGGTGAGTTGCCAGGTCTGGTGGATGCCTTTATAAATGATTTCTGAACATCAATAGAGCCTTATAACAAAGAGTGGAATATTTTTAATAGTAGGAAGAGAATGTGTCAATGCTGGCATTATTTATTTATTATTTAAATGGCTATTTTTCATATGTTTCAAGAACTTGAGCTTTATGTATCTTATTTTAACATATGTCTAAAGAATGGAATATTTCTGAGGTTTTCTTCACTGCTTTTGACCAGTTTACTAGTCAGCACTTTATTTAAAAAAGAACGAAAAGGGTGAGCTTTCCTCTAAGCTTTGCTTAGATGACTGTGGAACTTGTAATTGTTTAAAACATTGCAAAAGAGGAGGAATCAGCAGCATGGTGTAACAAAAATAAGATGTCTTCTGGGTTCTCCTCTCTCTTACTGCCCAAAGATAGGGCCTGAGTTAACCAAATGACGCGTTGTAAAAGCTGTGTCCCTGTCAAAAAGACGGAGAAAATGGCTGCGATCAATTATGAAGTTTCATTTTATGTTGACTTTGTTCAATTGTCAGCATGTGAAGCTGTAAATACTCAACCTTATACAAGCATACACCTTAAAAGATGAATTGATCTAAGGCGAAAGCCATCTTCGGTTAACTCATCATGTGGTTTGCTATTTGGTAAGACAAACCTTTCCTTTTTAGATATAGACTTTTCTTATTTCAGAACCTGACTTTTTGTTGTTACTGATGGTGCGGGAAAGATCCCCACATACTTGCATAGAAATGTATGCATTATCAATGGATATTTCCTATGATAGATAAATGGAGCCTCAGTTTTTAGAGGCTGTATACCTCCAAAGAACCAGATTTTAGTGTCAAATCATGGGGGAAAGGCTATTGTCCTTGCCTCTTGCTTGTCTGTATATTATTTGACATTATGGGAGAGAAGATGCTGGATTCTGGGCCTCCAGTCTGAGCCAGCATGACTTTTTGTGATCCCATGCAATTGATTTAAAAGTCAACAAACAATACAACCCCATAAATAAATTATAGATGGATGAAATAGCATCGTGCAATTGTAGTTTTCCTTTTTGTTGGCTGCCCATTGCATAGCAAATAGTGCCTCATTCCTATTCTGGATCTCCCACATACTGAATGGAGCAGTGAAACACTAGGAAAATTATGTTTCCCCCCAATTAAACTCTGCAATGTCCCCACTCTCCCCTGAGTTGCCCAGATTGTTTTAACTACCTTTAAATCAATTTCCTTATCACGGTCTCTTAGTAATATCAAATAAAATAAAAAATAAAAAATACAAAGTTACTAATGCGATCAACTGTCACCAGCATTATTATACAAAACATTCCAAGATAATTATTTTAGGATTTTTTTCCGAGGAGGGATGTTTGCAAAGTAAGCAGACAACTTGGGAAGAAACAGAGCATTCATCAAGAAATGTAGTCAGCAAAAGAGATCTGAGAGAGGCAAGTTAGAAGCCTAATGAAAATGTACATCCTGCAATCAGGTCTGTGTTATTTATGTATTGTGAATGTTTTCATAATTCTATTGCCTGTAAGCTGCTTTCATAAATATAATAAAATATTTTGTGAACATAAGGTCAAATAAAGCAATTTACATTATGTTTATTAAATAAATCTTGGTTTTTGTGAAACTGTTTTAAATCCTCCTAACAATCGTTCCCACCCCCCTTTTTGCTTTGGAGTACCGGACATCTTGTTGGAACCGCTCTTGTGGTGGTAAATAGACATCATCTAGGAATAAAGCTTCATTGAAAAGGTCCGTTTGGCATCTCTTCAAACTTGAACTGCCATTGGGTTGATTTCTGTTCTTTGCTGAAAGTGGGAGCGGAGGGGTTAGTGGTGATGCACAATCTTTGCATGTGGAATGTCAGAGGTTCAGTCCCCAACAACAACCTTAATAAGACTGAGAAAGACTTTGGAGAGGTACATGCTGTCAGTCAGCACAAACAGCATTGAGCTAGATTGATCAATGGTCTGATTTGCTTTCAGTGTAAAGCGAAATCTGCTTCTGCAGATCTAAAGTATGTTGAAAACTCTTTTGTAGCTACATTGCGAAACAAAACAAAGAGTTATGGGATATAGCACCATAAAAAACTCTTTACATTATATCCAAAAAGAGATTTGTATTTCTCATTCCACAGCTCTCTGTTCTGCAATTTGTTCTATAATAATAAAAATGGACAAGAAACTTTATTTTGGTTATAAAAAATGTTCATGTCTTTATGTCGGTGTGCAGAGCCCTCATATCCACAGGATGTATGTTCCTTAGACCTTGCATGAATATGTGGAACTGTAAAGGCTCCTTTGTTGAAGGCTTTTAAACAGAGGCTGGGTGGCCATCTGTTGGGGGTGATCTGAATGCAACTTTCATGCTCCTTTGGAGGGGGTTGGACTGGATGGCCCACAAGGTCTCTTCCAGCTCTATGATTCTATGGAGATAACTCAACTCTGGCCCAAGAATAAGGCGGGGGGGGGGGGGGGGAGTCATGCAGAAGGACCTAGGAAATGCCTAGAAGGGACATATGTTGTGAGACATTGATAAATGAAATTGCGGATATATCCCCTGTGTATCTGGGAGTTGTATTTTAATGGCTAATAGTAATTTTCATAACATAGCTACTGCTCTATTTTTTCCATTTCACTGGGTTAACTGCCAATGAATTTTGCTTTTGCATTTCCAAAATTCACAATTCTAGTAAGTAATTAAGTGTGTGTGTTTTAGTTGGACAAATCTGAGCCCCCATGGAGTGTCTGTTGTGGCAAGATTGAGAAAGTGCTGTTAGTCACTGTTATTTGATGGATTACATAAATTGTATTTGCACCATGCTGTTATATATTGGAGTTACGAGAAATATTGTTTGGATTCATCAGGACTGAGGCACTAGAGATGTAGCAGATTGTAATGAACTGAAATGTGTAAATTGAATCACAGAGGCTGTGTCTTCTGTTATGTGGCATTAGTTTAGATGTTATTTTATAAGGGATTATGCAAATTGATGGGAAGATAAAAGCCATCGCTTGCTACAAACAATTTATTCCAGATTCATTTAGTATTACTGAATGCAAGCTTTAGCAGAGCAATAAAGGATGGAGCTTTTGGTTTTAAAGATTTGCAGTGTCTCCTTAGAGGTAGATGACTGCTCATTCAAAGTCTTTGTGACTGCAATTAAACCATGCAATGAGATCACTGCACCTTTCATCTGATTTAGCAGGGTTCAGTGCTTGTGTCTCCTATGATCTCTATCAGTGTTTAAAGAAGCCTACATGCCCATGTGAGTATGAGGATGCTAAGATTGTGGGGGGGGGGGGGGGGGGGGGGGGGGGGGGAGAGGAATCCTATATTCACCTGATGCTTAACAAAGCATGTTTTTTTTTTCTTGTACCCCTTTCTCTCATTTGCACTTTCATATAATGGCATTTCAAATGGTATTATATGGCCAATGTAATATAATGCAGTTTAACTGCATTGAACTGCAATATATGAATCTACACCAACAATATATTGCCGTCTTTTACTGCATTATGCGGCAATGTAGATAGGACTTCTGAATCTGACTGAATAAGAGTCCATCTAGAATTAATACTTTTTGACACTAGTTTAAGTGCCATGGCTCAATGCTAGTGAATCATGGAACATGTAGTTTTACCAGGTGTTTTATCTTCTCTGCCAAATAGTGCTGGTGCATCCACCAAACTACAACTTGCAGGATTCCATAGCATTGAACCATGGCAGTTCAAGCAGTGTCAAACTGCATTAATTCTATAGTCTAGGGGCACATCTACACAGACCACGTAGGTCGATTTGGAGGCAGTTTGGGAGGAACTGGTTTCGCTGTGCAGGTGATTAGATGGACTATTATGAAAGTGGTTTGAGACCAGGAAGGTGGCTACATTTACCACGGAATCTGGCCTAAAACCACTTTGCAGCTCGCCCTTCCATTTCTGGGATAGCACAGGAGAAGGGAAAGTGACAGTTGGAGGCAGGCATGTAGCCGGGGGAGGGGGGCTTGAGGGGCTTCAACCCCCCCCCCCCGAATATCCCATATGCATGGGGGTATTGTGATAACAATACAAAAGGTTTGCTAGGGTAGATCCTCTTTCACTCAGACTCAGCCCCCCCCCCCAAATAAAACTCACCCCTCCTGAATCAAAATCCTGGCTACGGGCCTGGTTGGAGGTAATCAATTACCTCTCCCAGGGGGTCAATTACTCCCCTGCTAGCCAACCATGCCCTTGGGGCATTTTTCAGCAGCCTCTTCCTTTCAAATTCTACAAAGCGCTTCAGCAAGGACACATATCTACAGAGTCAATGTTGCCCTATGATCTGGGATATATTGTTTTAGTGCATTCAGATTGATCAAATGGGTAGTTTCATTTAAACTTGTCCAGTGCAAAAAGTGGCTTTCACAATTGATGCAGATTTTGCAGAGATGGTGAGGCTACATATATGGTAGATAGGGCTTTTTTTAAAAATGTAGAAATGTATGGTAGTTGGAAGTAGAAGCGTGCCACCCTTTTCTCATTGCAAGCATCCACTGCCCTTGGATTGCAATGGTATGGACAAGGCTTATAATGTCTATCATAATGAAAACCTCTTTGTAAGGATAAAACAAATGGTTTCAATTTGGTTTCAGTGCTCTCTATGACCTTTTCCTATCAAGTTACTTGCTGCTTTTGGGAGTATGCTTGTGCTGGCGTAATTTGAAATACTGCAGCAATCTCAATATCTTCCTGATAATTTTATATATGGTAATTTCAATATGAATCTGTATTTCTAAGTGTGTTCCATATATACAATTTCTCATCTCTTCTCTATGCCTTTTATAGAGCTTGACCATGATAATTTTTAGACTACAGTTCCCAGAATCCCTGAGCCAGCAAGCCATTGGTTGTTGCTGTTTACCTTTAAGTTATTTCTGATTTATGGTGACTTTCAGACAAACCTGTCACGGGATTTTCTGAGGCTTAGGTAGCATCTACACTGTAGAATTAATACAGTTTGACACCACTTTAACTGCTATGGCTTCATGCTATAGAATAATGACAATTGTAGTTTTGCAAGATATTTAGCTTTCTTTGCCAAAGAGTGTTAGTGTCTCACCAAACTACAAATCCCAGGCTTTTATAGCATGGAGCCATGGCAGTTAAAGTGGTGTCAAACTGCATTAATTCTACAGTGAAGATGAACCCTAAAACTGTGTGACTTGTCCAAGATCACCCACTGGGTTTTTCTTTCTTTCCAGAATCATAATCCAATATTCAAACCACTACACCAGATTAGCTTCTCCCAATAGGGCCTCATCACACTTGAGCATCTATCCACTTTAATCCACTTTAAATGCGGTGACTCCAGAAGAATTCTGGAGTTTGTAGTTCAGGGAGGGGCCTTTCAACTGTTCATCCAGAGAAGCCCCTGGGCCCTTACTTATTTATTCCATGTTATGTTAATCTGAGTTCTGAAATAGAGGCCTGCTTCTATATTCCACCAGTGGAAAGCTATATAAATTGGAAAGACATGGAAGAGGGCTTTTTACACTGTCGCATCCTGGTTGCTGTATGTCCTCCCTGTGTAGGTCAGACTGATGACAACACTGGTTTGTTTCTGGTGCCAAGCCAAAACATGTATTTTTACTAAAGCCTTCAGGGACTAATTCTTTTCAAAGTATACATGTACTGTGGCTTGAAATTGCTGTAGCTTTTAAAGTGGTTTTAGCAGACATTTTAACAACATGTTTCTGTTTTGTTTAAAATATTTATGGTTTTAATCTGGAAACATTTTAAGTTCATTATTTTGGAAGTTGCTTTGAGATAATGGGCAGGATGAAAGTATTTTACCAAAATAAATAAATATCCAATTTCCTTCCAAAATTGCAATTGAGAATGGTTTACACTGTAATTCAAGGCAAAACAGTTCAGACTACGAGGCCTTCCAAGCAGCCCTGATATCCCAGGATCTGATCCCAGGTTTATCCCATGTTATCTGGCAGTGGGGACTCATATAATACAGTTTAAAGCAGAAAACCTGAGATCTGATCCTGGGATAAAGGGCCTGTCTGGAAGCGCCCTATGTGTGGTACAAATGTTTAAAAAGTACTAAACAATCAATCCAGTTAGAAATGGTAGTTTTTATCATAATCTGTAACATTATTGCAGATGGAAAATTCTTGACATGGCCAGAATCATGGTTGATGGTGATACAAACTAGTCCTTCTCCCTTGCCTGTTGGAGATGTAGCTATTGCCCTTCATAAGAATTCTGCACCATCAAATGAAATGTTTCTTCAGTGCCCACACCTAGAATTACTATTTTTGTTATATTTGCATTCCCTTGGTAACTTAACTTTTCTTTATATTTGTAAATTGTATTCCTTAATGCTCAACTGAGGTTTTAAGTTAGTGCAATGCTAGAAATATGGGGAGTAAATACAATTTTCACTGAGGCGGGGAAAGAATTTGTGATGGACAATTTCTTAATTCCTTAATTGTTTGAGGTTCAGAGGCAGGGGTCAGTATGAGTCCAAGGAGCCCAAAGGCTGCGCAATGCCCACTCTTTTACACCAATGAAAGCACAGAAAACTGAAAAACAGAGGCAATAATAGATGCTCCAAGTCATCG